AAAAAAAACATATTGAGTTAGTGGTTAAATGATAAAAAATAATTGTACTAAAATAAGATTTAATGCATTTTAACTCTTTTTAAACACAATAAGAGGTTTTCGGGCTAATATCTATTTAATATTTATTATGTTACAATCATTATTTAATTGTGATATGTTAATAGTAATTGGGGTAATAATTAGAATACATAATAATTTACTCACAAAAGCGATAGCTCAGTCTTTTTCACAAGAAATACATACACTAATTTTTTTCACTTTTGCGGTACATGGTCCACAGATATATTTCTTGCAGTTTTCACACATATTGACTGTTTTATTACCTTTACAATTCTCTGCTACTTGACATTGTTTCCTTTTTATACCTTGCGTTTTGGGATCAGTTGAAATGTCCTTCTTAGGAATTATTTTGCGCATGTCAAGATGTTTTTTTCTTAACTCATCTGATAATTTCAAGATAAAGTCTCTGCGACTTATGTTGATATCGATCAGTTCCTTATATAAAACCCACGCATTTATGGCTGCTAAGTCAAGGATGTTGAAGAATACATGAACTGGCCAACGTCTTGAACAGGATTTCACAGAATATTTTCTTGCCATCTGATCTACCACATCAACACCATATTTCGTAGAGTTGTAATATGTTATGACTTCCGGAGTCTTTTTCTCTGTATTTGATGCATTCAAATTTGGATGGAGGGAGCTCAGAAGAAGGACATTTTTTCTTTTTTTGCACTGATATGAGGTTAATGTTATGCCATTACTGTGCACTATTTTGCTGGAAAAAAGTTCATCCTTTGTTTTCTTGAAGCTTTCGGGAATTTCTTTTTTTGCTCTATTGATTGTTCCTACCAAACTAATGCTTTTCTGTTTCAAGTTTTGAGCTAAATTCAGGGAGGTAAAGAAATTGTCCGTTGTAACATATCTCCCACTATTATAAAATGGCTCCATCAGTCTGTATACTGCATGCTCTCCAACAGTCATTGCTTCAGGACGTGTCTCATCTTTTCCAAAATAAGGAAAGGCATTCAAAATATATTTTGATGCCACATTTGTAGCTAACCAAAATTTAATACCAAATTTATCTGGTTTATTTGGCATGTATTGAAGAAATTTGCATCTAACTTTAGTTGGAAACAGTTGTTCATCAATGCAGATATTTTTCCAGGTTTATAACAAGATAGGCAATTTTCAATGAATTGCTCCCAAATTTCGGAAACGAGAGCAAATTTATCAGTCACTAGCCACTGCGATCTCATTGATTTCAAATCAAATCTTAGGTATCTAAGAATTTCCTTGAATCTATTTCTTGGCATTGTTTCAGGAAAATAATTATGTCCCCATTTCTTTGACCACAAAGAATCAATTGAAAGTCCTTTTGCAAGTAAAGCACCTCGAACATAAAGAAAAGAAATAAAGGCATCTAGTTCTTCTAAAGAAACTTTCCAGTTGATATTTTTGCACCTCGCACTTTCTGCTTCTGTGCACTTCTGTATATGCTTCAACATCTTTTCATTTATAAGCAGACGCCATGTGCTGCTTGCAGAATTAATGTCGATATTTCTTTTCGCAAACGATGTGGGTCCACTTTTTTCCTTCAAAACATTCTGTGTGGGCAGTCTTCCGGGAATATTTTGCTGAAGATATTTCCAAACTGTTCCATTTTTCGTTATTTCTTCTTCAGAGTTATTTTTAGATAATATAGAATCATTCAAATTATCTCTCTTTTTACTTAATCTTGATTTGAAAGAACAGCATTTATTTTTCCCTTGAACTTTTTTCCGACTTTGAGCAGGCAATAATTCTTTATCTGGTTCAGAATCACTATTAGAACTTGATTGACAATCACTTTTATCGCCACAGTTTTCAACATCAATTGTATACAAAGAGTCTTTTTCATCATCAAAATTACATTCATTCTTCTCATTATCAGAATTATTAGCTTCAAAACCAGAATCATCTGACGAAATAGTTTGCATCATCTGCAAAATTTCTCCTTGACTTAGCAAATTTTTTCCCACAGTTCTCCGGGACATTTTGAATTACAGAAAGAGAAACGATAAATAATAAATGATATGTAGATAAAAGAGAAAAAAAAGAAAACTTTCCAGTAAATTTGCTCACTTAGTTAGAAATAACATATCACAACCTCCGAGTTCAAATTCAATAGTCTAAATATGATGCACGCCTTCTGAAGGAGACAAACGAACATTCCAAAAATTCGCGCATGCGCAGATTACTTTCAAACAGGTGTGACTGAAGGTCACCCTCTATCTTTCTTTCGACTCTTCACACCCCTTCATTTTAGTATAATTAATTATGCTTTAAAAATGACAGTAACAGAAATAACTAAAACCGGTCATTTTGACCGGTATTGGCCGTTTTAGGTATATTGTAAATTTACAAGAAAACTAATCAAAATAAATGAGTGAAATTTTTTGTGGATGATGTTTATTAATATTTAGGAAAAGTCAGAAAAAATCAAAGAAATCGGTGAAAACCGAAAAAAATTAAACGCGTTTCAAATCGTTTTGCGGTCAAAATGACCGGTCCGGCCGTTCTAGTGTTAAAGTTCTCTCTCCGAAACTCTTGTTTCTTTCAGTTCTCTCGTGGTGAAACTTTTAATTTGTTTGTAAATTTGCAAAAAAAGTGTGAAATTTTTAATTGTCTATAAAATATTTTCCTAAAGGCATATTAGTTGGTTGCCTTGCTTCCTTGTGAAGAAAATTAAGGGCAAAACAAAAATTTTATATTTATGAATAATAAGAAAAGAACTCATATTGATGAGATAAAATGATTTTTGGGATGTTATTTTTGTTATCTAATAAAAGCTTTAAAAGAAACAGAATTTTTTTAAAAAATGAGTAGTTTGAGAAAATATTAAAAATTGCCATTTACAATGTGGGTGTTTAAACCCCTCCTTTACCTATACCCCTAATTGCTGGGTTATTTATCTAACTTCTTGTCAGTGTTGTATATTGAAAAAACTAAACATACTCTTACACTTCGATTTAAAGAACATTTAAGATATTTTAAAAATCGGGATATTAAACATCTTCTATCATCCTACAGCATTGGAATTCTTATCTTCATTGAACTCTGCTAAAATCATTAAACACTGCTCTTCATCTTCTGAAAATCATTTCAAGAAGTCACTCCATGTTTTGAAAGATTCTAATAATTTCATTAAGGATCTTTGTTATATCCCTACCTTTCCTAATGTATGGAAATCTATTCTAATTTAATCCTTCCCCCTCTGGGGTTCCTGCCAAAAGTGACCACTTACAACAATACAAATAAAGCACACATCAAATTTCTGTATTTGATGTGTGCTTTATTTGTATTGTTGTTCTATTTAGTAATGGCAATTGTTAAAATCTTTTTTGTTTAGTGTTATATCTAGAAATGCTTATGTTTGTACCCTCTTTTTTTGGGGATACATTTCATACTGTCTTTTTTATTTCTCTTTTAGAGTGTGATGGGAGTGTTTCAGAGGAAACCCTTAATCCTGAGCTTTTGCTCTCATCTATCCAGAATTGCTATCAACCAGATAAAAGTTCAAGTGTGTCACATGAATTATTAATTCCTGAATTGAGGCCATACCAAAGTCAAGCTGTCGATTGGATGCTTAATTGTGAAAAGAGTTCTAATTCTCTTAATCAATTAGAAATTCATGATCTTTACTGTGAATTTAAATCAAAAAACGGCCCATCAATTTATTTCCATAAATATGGTGGATTGTAAGTTTTTTTGATACAATTTTAGCTTTGTGTTCACATTTTAATGAAAAATACAAATTTCACATTTTATGAATCTCAATATTTAGATTTAAATGCAATATTTCAGTTTTTTTAGTAATTTATTTAAATTTAATATAAGCTAGGGTCAGTTGGTGTAATTATGACCACTTTTAACTTTTTATTTCAAACTTCTTTGTGCTTTTAAAGAATAAAATTATTGTCTTAATAGCTTAGGTGATTTTTCTGACACTTTAAAAATGTAGAAAAACAATAAGAATAACTTTGGCTCTAAAAAGGGGCAATCTCAAAAAATTAAAATTTGGAAAAATTATGACCTCTAACTTACACACATTCTGGAACTGTTGTTGACTTTTAGTCAGACAATTCAGAAACCCTAACCAATACTTTTCTCGCATCATCTATTCCAGGCACAATGAAGGGATCATAATTAAGCCCTGATTTCCTCTGTATTGAATTCAAAACAGGATTAATCTAACTATAACAGTTTTTTTTCTCTCCTTATACAGTGCTTCTAATTTTTCATGAAAATTGTAGAACATTTTTTGAGTTGTGTTAGATTTCTTCTAGCATAAGTGAGTATATCTTTTCATAATGCATGGATACCAGTTCTCCCTTAGTTTGCATCCTTAAAAGCATTAAAAATGGAATTTTCTTCAATGTCTGATCCAACTACCTTCAAAAGTTCTTGTTTGTTACAAGGAAATCCAAATCTAGCTCTAGTTAATAAACATTCAAAAGTTCTTGTTTTTTGAAGTAGGTGTTTAGCTTCCTGATTTTTTCAACTAATTTGTTCACTTTTTCATAGCTGGATTAGTGATTTTAAAATGTCATATGTTTTTTAAGCTTTTCCCTGACTCAGTTTCTTCTCTTTTACCATTGCAATAGCATTCTGTATGATCTTTCAAGTGTATGAAAAAGAGGCTTCTTTTTTGTATATGTTCTGAGCATTTTTTTCACAACAGAACATGCAAAGTCATTAATTTTGAGCTTACATGAAAATATGTCCATATAATTACTTCGTTCTGGTTAAAAAAAAAAAAGGGGATTATGACGGCATACTTTCAGGTAATGTATTTTTAATACAGGCAGATAATAATACTCAGTACAGAAAGAAGAAGAAAAAAACACAATTGGCTTAGTTATAAAACATATTTGCTTTTATCAAAAAATTTTCTCATTTGAATACCTTTTTCAAAGAACTCTTTAAATATTCTTTTTTTTTAAAAAAAATACTCATATTTATATTTATTACACACAATTAAATATTTTCTTAAAGTATAGCCTGAGGCCCTACCACAAACTCCAAGGAATTGGGTTCCTTGAGGAAAAAGTTCTATTTCTCCTGGAATGGATTTTTGATACCATGAATACCAGTTTTGTTCTGGGAACTCATTTTGTGAGGAATTATTTTTCTACCAAGTGAGGGGGTTGTAGAAATGCAATTCCTTTAGGAATTATCATTAGAGTGATGATGTTAATCCGTCTTGCGTTTGCAATTTTTTATAAATAGTTAACAACAGTTTCTTTTCAATGCTAAATTTTTCAAGAGAATATTCAATCAGATGAATGAAGTTAAAGTCATAATAAGGAAGAATATACAAGATAAATATCATTGAAATTCATAATATAAATATGAAGACAAAAAAATAAAGAAAGAAAGAGACAAAAATATTTAAAAGCAGTTTATGAAGGTGGCATTGAAATTATATATTAAGATTAAGAAACTAATTAGGAAGAATTCGTATACTTTTAAACTCTTATCTTTTATCATTGCCAGAATGTCTTACATCTTTGGAAATTGGTTTCCCTAGAGTTAAATCATTGATTTCTGTGGTACCATTTTGACAAAGCAAGGAATATCCTGTTTTAGATTTCCTTGAGGAAAGCCAATTTCGACTCCTCAGAGCTCGCGGTAGGGCCCCTGGATGAGGTTTTTAAAAATGGCACTAGTTACAATGACTTTGTGGTCACAAGAACACCTACTTCAACCTGTATTTATTATTTCATTTTCTTGAAAATAATAAAAAACAAGTTCACTTATTTTTAAATTTAATAACAATTATATAATCCTTTCTCACCTTAATTTTTAAATACAAAAACAAACTCTTTTTTTGTTAATTAGGTGGAAAATATTTTTTTCCATATTTTGAGATCTTTATTCTTCAGTTTTTATAGTCTATTTTTTACGAATTAATAATTTCCATCTTTTATTTTAGACAAATTTTCCAGTTTTTTTTTTATAAATAAATAGAGAATTTCCTAGCCATAAGTTGAAAAATTGATTAACATCCAATATTGCTATTTAATCTTCAAGAGCACCAGGTATGCAAGGGGTGAACTGAAGACAGATTTTTTATTTATTAGAAATTCTTTTAATTTAAAATATAAAAAATGAAAAGAAATTATAAAAGGCTTAAAAGATTATTTAATAATATTAAGTAACTTATACCTACTGTTTTGCTCTTTTTATAATTTCCTTTTAAGGTAATTTTTGTATAATGTTTACAGTTTTGTGAAGGAAAAGTATAGACCTGTGCCCAGAAGTAAAGGTGGCATTTTATGTGATGAAATGGGTCTAGGAAAAACCGTAGAAGTTATAGCTTGTATCTTATTGAATCCTCGCCCTTCAATGATTGTTGTAAGTTTTAATGTTTTGTACTGTTAATCCTCTCTGGTATTCTCAGCTTGATTTTTCCAAATTAGATGCTAGTTATTACCTACTGTTTTACACTCCAGTTTGTAGAATATTGATGTATAGTTTTTACTGTCTAATCTGTACTTTTTTACTGTCTAATTAGTAACTTAAACAAAATTTGAATTTAATTTTACCAAAAAAAGAGAAAAATCATCTGAATTTAGTGAAATAAAAAAATTCAAATGAAATTTTCCTTAAAAATTTAATTGTAATCTCGTAGCCTATTTAATACGCTGTTCTTGAAGGTAGCTCTATAGCTTTCTGTAAAATAATAAGTAAGTTTTTTAATTATAAAAACCTTAACAGTTTCAAAATTAATAACCAAATCTGTATCTGTATAGCTACACAAATTATTCTTTGTAGTGCCATAAATTTTTTCACAAATCAGGGAAATGTTAGCATAAAAATTTGATTTATGTTTGTAATTAAAATGTTACTAAATGAAATAGAGTTACTATTAATTAGGAGATAGAATTAAATGTAAGGATTGTATAAAACTGTTTGACTTAAAATAGATACAACAGCATCACTCAAGTTTAAAACAAAGGTTTTCTCAATAAATATTTGGGGTAATATTTTTAAATAAACATAACTTTTTTCTTTATTTTAGGTCTTATTTTTCTAAGAATTTGAAAATATCTTACTTATGCAATCTGTTTCCATTTAAATGTATTCTTCGTCATTAGTATCAGAAATTACTATTTTATTCCTCTCAAAATGAAATAACTTCAACTTCTTTTTCAAATCATTTGAAATGTTGATAAAATTCCGGAACCACATATGCAAGAATATTTAGTTACAAAGGCGATCTTAACAGGTATGATTAAAACTATAAAAATAGCATTTGTGACAGAACTAATAGGAGGATACAAACATGAAAACAAAAGATGCGGGACCAATGGATCGAGGTTTGATTGTATTAAAGATTGTGCTGTGAGAATTATTAAGTTTGTTCAGCTTTCATCTTGCGAGAAATTTGTTTGAATAAAACTTGTCTGTTGAATTTTATTTTCAGGAATCTGCAAGCAAAGAATCATTGGATCAAAATCGTAAAGTGGAAAAATATGAAGCTGCAAATCACTCTTTTGAATGCATATGTGGTTCAAATTATTCAGAGGATATAGATGAGACTATTCAGTGTTCTAAATGTGGACTATTGCAACACCCTGGTTGCATTCTGAATAATCCTCTCACTGCTTGGGATGATTACGTTTGCCCATACTGCTTAGTTAATGACCCTAACGTATGTTAATATGACTATTCTAATTTTTATTCCTATTCAAAATTTGAGTTTTATGAAATTTCTTTTAAATTAAAATCTTTTCATCATAATTGTATTTACTGCTATTTTCCTCTTTTTTTAGCTTAATCTGATCTATTTTCAAAATTTTGATATGTTGAGTTTGTTTTACTTTTTGTTCCATTAGTCAATTTTTTAATATAATTAATTGATCTTGCTATTTTGCTAATGTGCTTTTTTTGTTGTTTATAAAAAACCGAAAGTGCCTGACCCTGTATCTTGCGAGAATGTTATGGGTGCATTTTAATGTATGAAATATCAAAAAAAGTAAAAATATTGGCTCTTAATGTCTAACATTTCACAAAGCTTTAAATGAAGATTTTGCTGAATTGTTCATATAATGAATGTTATGAATATAATGAATCTTATCAATTTAATTATAATGAAACATAATATGTAGTTCAAAATCAATACCAAAATTAAATTTTAGTAAATATTTTTTTATTTATTTATAGAGAAATTACAAGATGAATAAATAAACTAAATAATTTGAATTAAGAGGAATAAAGTATTTTTTGAAATTTTTTTTATAATCAGACCTTCTTGTATTTCTTTTTAAGGGATCTGAAATTTTAGAGCTTTTGCTCTGTTTATTGCAGATTACAAAAACATCCTAACTGTTAAGGAAACAAAATTTACTTTTTAGAAACCATGAAGCCAGAGTAAATTTGATAACATGTTCAAAATAAATCTATTTCTGCATGAATTATAATTAGTAATTTATGAACTGTTAAAAAAAATTTTTCTCAACTTAATTCTTCCATCCCTTAACTTTTCTAAAAAAGTGATAGTGCTCTGCCAAATAAATTTTTTAGATAATATTAGTTGGACTGCTAAAAAAGATAAATTTTATTTTTCAATTTTAACTGAGATAAAACTTACTATTATCGAAATAAAATGTACTCTTTAGTTACCTATATAGTTTTTCTTAATTTATCAAACTATATTTTATGTTTTAATATTTCTTTTTTCTTAGAAAATTTTGAAGTCTCGAGCTACATTAATTGTATCACCATCTGTCATTTTACATCAGTGGGAAGAGGAGATTAATAAACATGTGAAAGAAGGTGGTGTGAAAGTTTATGTGTATTTAGGAGTGAATCAGCAGAAATTTATTCATCCATCAGTTCTTGCAGATAATGACATTGTTGTGACAGCTTATGAAGTTTTCAAATCAGAAATTAATTACCTAAATTTGCCGCATGGTAAATATGAGTTTTGTTTGATTATGTTAGAGTAGTTCATCATGTATAATTTAATCCTTTTCATAATGGAAATTTCATCTTATCTAGTATAAAACACTTCTTTCTTTTCCTTCTAATCTGAATCTTATTAGATTCATGAGTTTGTTTGCCCTAATCACCCCGAGCACTTTGTCAGGATTTGCTTTAAAAGGTCATCCCCCACCAAGCTAACACAACTCAGCAGATGTTGTGAAGTAGCTCCATTCATATTGCACTTTCTACAAATATCAATCTTCTTGCTACCACATGAGAATTTGATGGTCCTTAAGGGACCGGAAGTTAAACGTGTTAGGTCCATTTAGAGACTCCAGCAAACTTTTTGTTCTAGGTCCTCTTCCTAAATCACAAAAGCATCCCTTGTTAACCTGCTCAAAGGATGATGTGGTTTTAACAGGGTGCGTAGCTTTTTAAAAAGTGCTTAAAGGTGCTTATTTTCGATTTTCGTTTTTTAAAAGCTCTTAAAAGTGCTTTTTTCCATGTGTGTTTTTAAAAAGTGTTAATTTTCCCCTTTCCGAAATGTGATGTTTTTCTTTACCATGTTGATTTTCGCCACAAATTATGCAAATAATTTTTTATACAACATTTTCACAATTAATTCAACCCCTATCTATTTCGGCGTACTGTCGGTCTGTAGTGTATTAAAACACCATTTGTTTTACATGCTTGATAAAATACTTACGGATCCACATTTGTGTATACTGAGCTGGATTCAGTGGTAAGGAGTTTTGCCTTTCATATGCAACCCTGCTGCATTCTGCAAGAGATTCTCAATTTCAGACTGCATTTTCCGACCTCTGTTATAGAATCGAAAAATCTTTCGAATTTTTGCTGATTACGGGGACCAGCTAAGCATTGTAAATTTTTTTTCTCTATTAGCGATAGAAAATTTCATTTCTCTTGTTAATTTCATCGTTTGTGACGAACCATCGTCTTCGTCACTGTAAATAAAACTGGATAAAACCGTCAATTGTCAAAAACTTACCAACCCTGTCTAATTATGATATTTTTCAAAATGCTTAAAAATATTTTTTGAGTTCTTGAAAAGTGCTTAAAAGTTGCTTATTTTTTGTTGAAAAATTTTGCTATGCACCCTGTTTAAGAGTAATAGGTGTACCATTCATGATAAAGAAGAGAAATAGAGCATCTTCTATTTGTTCATATTATACCTTGAGCACCCGACGGTAGAAGTCCGAAATTGCTCAGGAGCCTGCGAAGCACTTAGCTGTGCATAATGGAATGGCCTTCATGCCTGGGGACCCTACCAAGAGATAAAACTCCTGACGTACTTCGCTTATTCCACCCATTGACACCACACACCCTGCCGCATTGAGGCTGCAAGGTAGGACTTGGAGGGGATAAAACACTGTAGGAACTAAGTGTTAATCATATTTTTAAAGAATAGGCTGTTATCTTGGTAATTGTCTTTTTATACTTCAGTTGCAGTTTTCAAAGCTTTAAGCTAGTATAACTTTATTATCCAGTATTACCTGAAATCGCAATCTTATTGCTATTCCTTTTTTTATTTAAGAAACTTGTTATTTTTTGATAAAATTTGCATACATTTTATGATAACTAAGTTTTATTTTTGACCAAGATTTTAAAATACTCTTGTATAGGTACTAAGCGTGACTCATGTAATATTCTCTCTCCTTGTAATATTTTCTCTCTCCTTGTTATGTCTTCATTATTATAAATTCAGATAGTTTGTTAAATTTATTAGAAATATGATTTGCTAATGATAGTTTTGTTCCAGAAATATGCATTAGAGTCATTAAATACTTCTTAAGATACAGTTGTAATAAACTTAATATATAAAGAAAAATAAATTGTAAACTTTTTAAATTGTTATTTGTTTCAAATATTATTTTATTTTCAAAATATTATAAGAAGATTACATTTTCAAAAAATTTATCTTTGTAAAAATTTTCAATTTTATAATGTCTGAACTCTCTTGTAGACAGTCTATTTAGAAATCCTTATATATGACTTTTAATAACTTAATTATAATTTTGAAGCAAATTGTACAGTTTTAACTCATAAAATTGTATTTTATCTATTGATGCAAAATAATTTCAGCATAATTAAACTTTCTTTTTTACTATTTAGTCTAACAGTGCAACTAACTTTTATTAAATCACTAAGCTGATTAGTAAAATTAAATTATCTTAAAGCAAAATTGCTAGAGAAAAGATGCAAATAATTGTCAACATAAAACATTTTGTTAGAACATAAATTTTTTTTAAAGTTCTGAACATGATCTGAAAGCTAATTTGACATATTTATTGTAATATATTTTATTATATTTGTCATAAAATAAGTTTGACCTATTTATAATTACAAATTTCTAATAATATATTTTAATATAGAGTGAGTAGATTAGATGACCATAGAGGAGAGAGATGGCTAGTTTAAATATCTGCAATATTTTTTTAATATATTGCAGCCGATCCAGTTTTACAGAAATCAGTTTGGACAAACCATAGCTTTCCAGGACAGCAAAAATATGAAATTTTTTTAATTTTTATTTTATTTAGGAGTCAAATATTTATATTTTAATATTTATATAATTTATTATTCTGTTGTTATTCAATGTGTAGGATTTTTTTTCTAACAAGCTGGACCTTTTAAACCCATATATAGTCCAGTCTTTCTTCCTGAGTATTGTATTGTATTGTATACAGGGATGAGATTTTTCCACTTTTTAGCGGATTTCCGCTTTTTTCACTTTTATCTCTTGAATTTCAGCTTATTTTTATCAAAAATTCAGATTTTCTAAAAATTTAACTTTTTTTATAAGTATTTTGCTTTTTCAGAAAATTCACCGATTTTCAAGGAGAAACAGAAAATTCAAACTACATAGCTGTCAATCCTTTCTCATTTTTACTTATTTTAGCAATTTTCACCCCTTTTACACGCAGTAGATAAGATTTTCCGAATTTTTTACCCGCCCTCCAGATAGATCCGATTTTCGTAGTTCAAACGACGCTGCTTCTGACAAGCCTTTTAGAGGTCCCAAGCCTGGAATCTGCTAATATCTCGATTCTTATTCACACGATTTTAATATCAAGCATAGCATTTCATATTTGCCTGTTGCGATTCTTATTCACGCGATTTGAATATTGTACGTTGCGACTCTTATTTACGAGATTTAAAAATCCGATATTGTGATTCCTATTTATGCCTTTTTAAAAACCTATGTAGCGATTCATATTCATGCAAGTTTAAAATTCAATGTCTTGATTTGCTCATGCGGTTTATAATATCAAGCATTGATTTTCGTATTTATACGTGATTTTAAAATAAGGCATTGGGATTCGCATTCACGCATTCTAAAAATTATGCATCATAATTCTTATTTATGCAATCTAAAAATTACGCATCATGATTCGTATTTACGCGATCTAAAAATTATGAATCGTGATTTGTATTTACGCGTTTTAAAAATTCTATATCCCAGTTTGTATTTTCTCATTTTCAAAATCGTATATCTAGTTTCATATTCATGTGATTTCAAAATCCATAATTGTTATTCATATTCACGCAATTTTAAGATCAACTATCGCGATTCTTGTAAGAAGTAAATTTTTTTAAAATTAGTTACTATAAAGGTGACTGTTTTTCTAACGACGATTATTAGTATATGTAAGTGTTACAACATCAGAGAAACTGGAAGGGAATATATTCAAAACTTACATTCTGTGCTTGCAAAGAAGAAAAAATAGGATTTGTCACAAGATGTTTGAAGATGGACTAACGACTAAATATAGCAAACATAAAAGATATAGCAAACAAAAGCAATCACTTAAAAAGGGATTTAATTTAATTTTTTTTTTTTGGAAAAAGAGTTAATTAACTCATCATCAAAATTTTATTTATAATTGCTGTTATTTATGCTATAAAATGCAAAATTCTTATCAAATAAAAAACAATTATCTAAACAGTTGCTGATTGTCATGTAATTTTTCAAACTAAAATAGCAATTTTTGTATGTTAAGGAGTTACTATATATTTCTACTTCACTGTTATTGATATGTTTCAGAGGGCTCTAGTTAGATTAGACTATAATATGAACATAATGATTCGGTCCATTGTTAAAGTTTTTTTTTCCAATATAATTTAAAAAGTAATATTACTGATATATTTGCTATAAATCACATAACAGTATTTATTAAAAGAAATGAAATATTAATGTATATTCTCAGTAGTTTTAATTTGCTAAACCAGGTAGTTTTTCAAGTAATAATTGTCTCTTATGTGAACTGAGGAAAAATATAATTTCCAGCTTTATTTTTTCAATTGGTAATTTTTATTTTCACTAAATGTTAAGTATCAATGTAATCATTTATATAATAATAGATTAGTACACAATTGTATGTCAACACATTATTTATTACCTTAAACTGTCTGGAATTTATTATTAAAGGGTTGCGCTTGCGTAAAATTTACTATCGTGGAAATTCAGCTTTTTTGCCTTTTGGCTAATCTCATCCCTGTGTATATTTCTGTTAGGAAATCAGTGCCATCATTATATTCACCTGCTTCAATATCATAATTAAACTTTGTTGCAATGAAAATACGTTTGAAATAGGAAAAAGTGTCTATTTCATTGAGAAACAATTTTAGAATAGTACATAATTGCTATCTCCTTTTTTTTTACCCAGCTACATTAACTATTTGACTATAAATGCAGAGTGAAATGACTTTTTATTTGCAAAATTTTTTTGCAATTATAACGTCTGTGTACTGGCTATAAAAAGCATGTGCTATTTTGAACAATTAGTGAAATTAATACCTATTTGAGTGCCTAATATTGAATTGAATATAATTTATAATTTCTTCTTATTTCTAAAATGTCTTAAAAAAACAGAATATTTGTTAAAAGGAAACTTATTGGGGCTGCTTTATTTGGGTTTACCAGAAACAATATTCTAATTGAATTTTTTTAAAAGAGAAAAGTAGATTGTCTAGCAATTAAAGAAAAAATTAATCTATGTATGAAATTTTTCACAAAACTTGAAATACTCAGTAGTTTTTTTATCCCCTTAGCTTAATTTAAATCTTTTTACCTTTTTTATGCTTGTGATTTATTAATTAATACATTTTTAAATAAGAATATCTTGCAGGGTAAAAGGCATTTTACTTACTATGTTTAAACATACTTAACCAGTGTTTCTTTACATGTTATAAATATTACATTGGAAATTACTCAATTGCTTTTTAGGAGATAACCAGCGTGCTCTTCGAAATCCACAGAAATATCGCTGCATTCCATCTCCTTTGCTAAGTATAGAATGGTGGCGTATATGCCTTGATGAAGCTCAAATGGTCGAAAATGTTTCGGCAAAAGTGTCTCAACTAGCCTGGCAACTGCATTCTATTAATCGTTGGTGTATAACAGGAACTCCAATTCAGAAATCATTTCAAGGTAAAGGATATTCCTTTATTTGATATAATTATCATCTGGTATCAAATGGGACTTTATTATCGTTATCATGATAGTCATTATAATGGGGCTGTACAAATCAAAGTAGACACTATATGCATGCGTATATGTTGTCAATTCATATGAACTTAGGAACTAAAGGAAAAATAAGACCTCTAATTAATTTTTACTGTTTTTGACTTTACCGAAACAATAGTTTTCTATATTAATTCATAGTGTAGATAATAAATTAAGCAACTTGCTATATTGCTTGAAGGATAAACATTTATCTTCTTTCTGATAGAGAGCTTATTCATTCATCAAGCTTTTGGATGTTTTCTCATTTTTTTAATTTTTTTTAACAGCGTATTCTGGAAAGTACTATACTTAAATATATTGTATCATTTTTTCTCATGGTTGAACATCTTTCTACTTCATTTAAAAGACTTACTTTTACTATCAAGTTAAGAGTTTTTAATTTTTTTTAAACTTATTAAAACGAAGCAATCTTTCTTCAAAAATCTAGCAGCAAATGATAATCACAAACTTTAAACAAAACTTGGTAAATTTAATTACAGAACTATCTGAAATGAGCTTAAATTTAAATCACCTTTGTACTCATATGAACTAGGTTTTCGACTGGAAATGCTATCAGAGTAGTTTTTGATGGTTTCATCTGTGGATTAAGCCATCACATAAAAATCCTAGAAAAATTAAATTAATTTTGTGTTAAAATAATTATTTTTATTTTAATGTATAATGTTTCCTTATTCAATTTTTATGAGTTAAACTTGTTGAGAAGAAAATGATTTTAAAACTAAAAAACAAACAAACAAAAAACACCTTTTCTTACAAAATAATATTTAGATCATTCCTTTGTAAGCAAATAAACCATCTGCTGGAATTTTTTCCAGCTGTAAAGTTACTTTAGAAAAACATTTTTGTAAAAAATTGGATACTTGTCACCTCAAAATCGGTTTTTTGATTAAAAAAACGGAATCCTGAATGCTGTACACTCCAGTGTTGGTGTAGACCATTCAAGCAATCAATATAAAAGAAAACAAGTTACTAATTTCCCATAGTCTTTTATTATCCCTTTCTCTCACATTGACTTAACATCTATTATACCTTCTGTGACGTTTATTGTGTTGAAAGTTTTACCTTCTTGGTTATAGGATATTTTTTTTGCTGTGTTTTCAGCTATCAAAAACTCATATTTAAAAAAAAATTATGTTCAAGTATACATTGTGCAATCAAAACATTTTTTTAATGAATTGTAGTCAAAGTTGTTAAGATTTAATTATAACAAATTTAGTTATTGTGCCCCCATTCCTTCTATATATTATAATAGAAAGCTCTGTACAGGTTAATTAGATTTGAAAATATGTGTTGTAAGTAATTGTGTTCATGTGCACTAAATGAAAAATGCAAGACGAAATTTCACAGTTAAAAAGATGTCAAATTAAGACAATTTGGCAAAAAGAATTGAGGAAACAGTGACATAAAAAAGCGAAATATGGCAATTAACAAAGTAGCTAATCTCAATCTTATCTAAGTCAATCTTCACAGAAACTAAATTTTAGTTCTTAAACAATCATAACTTCAAAACACTTACTCTGTCATAGTGTCAAGACCTAATTAAAAATTTGAGTTGCCGAGATAATAAAGTTATTGTGCTTGGTTATCGCGAATCGACTTAAAGTCACTGGCAATCTGTTAAAGTTATTTCGATCTAAAGAAATCATTCTATAGTATTAGTCTAAGTACTTGCTTTAGATAATGTATTTTCTATCATCTATTTAGATTTATATGGATTACTACTATTTCTGGGCTATGATCCTTTCAATGAGAAAATTTGGTGGCAGGAACTGTTGTGGAAACCTTTTATGAATGGATGTTCAGATACGTTAAAGGCTGTCTTAAATCAAGTTTTATGGCGAACTAAGAAAACTCAAGTTATGGAACAGGTAAGAATTCTTGTCAGTATTTTATGATTGAAATAAGGTTTTTTCATTAATAGTTAGACAAAATATCTATTTGACGAAAAATTAATTTTTGTTTTTCAAATTTAACTGAGTTTTTTTTATTTAAACTTTATTTTAAAAAATTTACTTTTTTGATTTTATTATTTAGTTTTAACAATAGGTTCACATTTGAATGTGTATTATAAGATAGACACTTTTTTTTATGTAACTCAATTTTTGTATTTCGGGATCTTGTTAAATAAAGGTTCTTAACAAAAATTTTCTCATTGGATCTGGCCAATGTTTCTTTTATTTTGTGTAAAAAAAGCAGCTTATGTTCTGCTTTGTTATTTCATGCAATTTTGATTTGCTACAGTGACCAATATAAACACTGTTTAAGAAATGGTGAGCTCAATTGGTAAAAGAAAAGATTGAAGTAAAATATGTTGCAGTATTTACACTTTAATCATTTATGTATCAGCAAATATTTAAAAAAACAATGCTGATATTTTAGTAACCGTCATTACTTCATTTCATTTTAATTATTGAATTATATTATGCTTTTTAAATAATTTTATATAAACTTTGTTTTAATGGTGTTGCTTGCTATTTTTAACAAGAAGCTTAAAATATATAATACAGTATAAAGTCCCATATCTGGACATCCGTTTACCGGAAGGGTCCCTTTTTCCAAACATTTCTTAACAATCAAAATAAACAAAACTTTTATTTTCTTAAACAAAAAAAAATTATTATTATTTTTTTTTGCATTTGCGATTTGTTAAAGAAAGTATGCAAGGTTGAGAATCCTCTACTTTTCTGCTTCTTTATGATTTTTTAACTGACTCCCACTTTTTGCTAGGTTTTAATCCGATTCCTGCAACAATCCAGAAAAAAAATTGTGTCATGGAAACAAAATTTAGCATTTAGCTATAGTGCAAAAAAAAATCAAGTATTGCATAAAAGGATTATTCCTGCAAAAAATCGCAAATTTTCAGAGTGAGAAAAAATTGCAGATTTGCAATGAAATTGTCGCGACTGAAGTGGGTCAGTAAGTGATTATTCAAAAGCGTGATTAGGAATTAGTGGTATGTTATAATAGCATATTAAAATATCTGAGATTTTGAAAACCATGTGGGAATCTGTTACAAAAGCTGTGAAAATAATGCAATCACGCAAACCACATGGATTTATTAATTGTTGATTGAAATGTACATTAATTATCGTCTATTTGTTATTTTTTATTGAATAAGGATGGTTTTTGATGTTTGTTTACTTTAAAGACATATTGTCCGGATAAATCCTATTTTCCAGACTCGCCAAAGTTTTGGATATGGGATTTTTCACTGTAGTTATAAACATCAAAATCTTATATTTGTTTTCTTATAGTAAATAGTAAAGTTCATAGCATAAATGCAAGGTAAGGTATTTCATTTTTGAAACGTAAAAATTAGAAAAAAGCATTTTGAGCTTTTCAGCTCTGCAACATTGTTTGTAATATTTTCTTAGAGTTTAATAAAAACATAAATTTTAAATTCAGAAGAAAAAAAAGAATAAAACTTATTGTACTATGAAATTCCATGTATGCAAGAATAAAGTAGTAAATCTTAAAATCAGTAGTAAATGGAACAAATTGATCAATGTGTTTCTATGACTAGAACAATAAAGTAATTATTACACTTGTGTCTGTAAGGAGTCTACTACAATGTATTGTTACAATAAAGTAATTCTGTGTCTGGGTCATGTTTCAAAAAAAAAAAAAATTAATATAGAAATTACCCTGAAGAATTATTGCTTTGAAACAAAATTATAAATTTTTTTTTTTCTTTCTGAATGCTTTTTTTATAGCTACTAAATCTCGTTAATCCTGTGATATACCATGACCCTGTTTTGTGCAAATATATATATATATATATATTACTATTAATTAATAAGAGGTTATGAGGATTTCCTTTGAAATTTAATTGCCAAGTAAGTTTTAATGTAAAAGCAAAACATTTTAATGGAACTGTGTATAAAAAATATTAGCCAAGAAGGCTAGATTTGCCTGACAAGCAAATCTCACATTAACAAATTAAGAGGATATTGATATGAGGGAAATGTATGCTGTTTGCTTGTTTTTGTATTTAAGTATTTAATTTCTTTTCAATAAAATTAGAAAATTTTACATAGTTAAAGTTCAAAAGTATTAATTGTTTTCCCTCTGATAAGTGTAATTGATTAGTTGATATGGTGTGTTGAACTATGTTTGTATTTATATTCTCTCTCATTATGTATTTTTATGTACAGATTGGAATTCCACCTGTTGAAACTGTTGTTCACAATTTGCAATTTTCTATTGTGGAAAAAATTTTTTATGAAAATAGTCGGGAATATAGATTGAACGAATTTCGGCAATGTGTTGCTGAATTTGGTTGTCAGGATGATAAAATTGACTTTATGGACAAAAGGTTATTTTTTAAGGTAAGATGTGAAGCTCCTAGTATTTTTTTAAGTTTAGAAAAATTTCAATTAATTTGGGCCTGTATTAGGATGGAAATATATTTTGAGAGTTCATTTTTATTTTTTATCCATTATGGGTTAAAATATAAACTGCTAATTGATTTAGTTAATTTTGATGTATCAATTAATGAATGAAAAACCCATTTTTTAAATTTTTATATAGTCTTATCTTAATTTGATCAAAGTGCTGTTTAAGCATTGAAAAGCTATAAAAACAAATTAAAAATATTTAGTCCCCATTATGAATGTTGGATAAGTAAATAGTAAGTTTATATTTATCCCTTCCCTGCAAAATTCATAGATATCCAGGTATTTATGACCTCATAAGTTATAAAACTCAAGTGTATTTTGATTTTTGGCCTATTATCCATGGCTTGCTTGTTAAGGGGGTGACAATTTCATTTATGTGGTTTGTTGACTGAAGAGGGCAGTATTCCACAAATTCTTCATCACTTGTAAAGATTCGTCATGTCTGTTCTTATAGATGGAGCTTTCCATCGATCAAAATTAGCTTAATACATAATATTTTGTTGAAAAAAGGTTAAACAAAATAAAAATTAATTTTGAAAGTAAACAGTTTTCTTTTAAAGTAAAGTCTAATAAACGTTTACTGTTTTATCAACTTTGCTTTAGATTAAAATATGATAATCAGTAGTTCAGTGTGGGGAGAGTAGTTACAGACCATGTCAACCATCATCTATGAAAAGGTACCCCGACATAGAGTCGAGTTAACATGTCTTATATACTAGTGAATTGTATTGTAATTTTGTAGTGGTAGACACGCTACAGTACTCCCCCACCAGAATTATAGCTATGATAGAATTCGATTAATGGATGCCACTAGTTGATTCATTGCTGTTTTGTGCGAAGCCGGGAGAGCTGTATTAAGATCACCGTATTTTTTGAGTGCTGAATGTGAGAGGTGTATTAACTTCACGGTCGTAGTCGCTCCTCTGTTGCCGTTAGCAGTCGAGTAATCACAAGTATGCAAGCCGACGTTGTGTGTGATCGAGATGAGACTGAGTAGCAATTGCGTGAGGAGGTGGATAATGATGCAGTCACAAGTAGCAAGTCAACTTTTCAATGTGGACCATCCAACGAAGTAGGCGTTACTGCCGATGTTGGCGTATCCAGATCAAAGTGGACGTTTTTTTGCCAAGGTAGGCGTGTTCACATCACGTCCGAAGGTCACCAATGTGGGGAGAGTGGTGAGCTATAGATCTAGCCTCACCTAACTTTATTTAAAGCTTTAAGTTTATTTAACACCGTTGGCAACGTTCCGTTGACAACTGAGTTGTAATTTGGTTTTTCACTTTTCCAGCTTTACCTTTTTTCATTTCTCGGCCGTCAAACCAGATGGTTGTGTTCTTGTTTTTAGTTAATAAATTTAGTTTATGTATGAACTTTCTTTATGCATAACGTTCAATAGACCCTCGAAGACACGGGGGCCTAAAAGTGGTGACCCGTTTGGACATAGAACACGTACAATCTGCAAATAGAATGTTTCTTTCATGGTGGTGTCAACTGGCGTTTAGTAAGCTTATTCTAAGATGTAAATATGGTCATTTATTTCAAATATTAGATGGAATTTAAATTTATAAATGCTTAAAGTATTGCAAATTTTTTAATATTTCTCTAAAGTTAATTGAACTCTTTAAAATATTCTGTCATTATATTTGACATTTAATAACTACTTTTCAATTTCGTAAACTTTGTTACTTTAATCTTAATTTACTATAAATTTCAATTACAGTGTGTAAAAAGCAATGAATTTTTAATTAGAGTATAAGAAAAACAATTAATTAGTTTCAACATTATCACTTACAATAATTTTAATTTAAAATGAAGTATTCTTCAACTGTATTTTGCATTCTTTCTCAAAATGCATTTATTAACTTATGTTTGATATACTTCGATTAGAAATTTTAATTTGTGATTTATTGTGCATGCCTTTCCTTTTTGCTCTCTGACTCGCTCATATAAACAAAATGCCTGACGAAATTACTGCTTCTGAAAACGTGGCAGATGTTGCTCGCGTCACTTTTCAAGCACCCCCGTTTTGGCGCGCTAATCCAGAAGTGTGGTTTATTCAATTGAATCTCAGTTTGTCGTATCTGGGATAAGTGCCGACGACACAAAATATCACTGCGTTGTGTCTGCTCTAGATGGAGACGTTCTAACTTTAATTTCGGATATTATTCGGCAGCCACCTACTGATAATAAATATGAAACAATTAAAAATAGAATAATTGCAAACTATGCAGATTCCGAAACTGCTCGTTTGAAAATGCTTCTTAAAGACTTAGAATTGGGAGATAAACGACCTTCTCACTTATTACGCTCCATGCAAGATCTCGCTGGTAATTCTATAAGCACAGAAATTTTACGTTCACTTTTTCTTCAGCGTTTACCGGTGTCCGTGCATCAAATTCTTTTAGTTTGCATGGAAAAAGGTGAGCAAAATTTATCTCTCCTAGCCGAGAAAACCGATAAAATTTTGGAAGTAACTCAAAATTCATTGACAGTGAATTCTATAAATGTGACAGATGATAATTCACGTTTTCAAAAATTGGAGGACGAAATTCGTAAACTTTCCGATACCGTTACACGTTTGTCTAGACAACAATATCTGAATAAAAATAAATTTAGCACACATAGACAAGGTTCTCGTTCAAGGTCGACGCAGCGCACTGTGGCGGGACCTCTATGCTGGTATCACTATAAACTAAACTGGTACTAAAGCTAACAAATGCATTCCTCCTTGTAATTACGCTCAAAATTCGGAAAACTGATTGGACCCTCTGTTCATGCGACGGCAGATATCGGTCCTAGTCAAAGTCGCTTATTTGTATACAACAGGCTCACCAACCGCCAGTTTCTTATAGACCGGGGCTTCTGTTTCAGTTATTCCAAAAACACATATGCTGAAAAATTTGATTTCTAATAAATCTTTTGATATTTATGCTGCTAATGGTTCGAAAATTGCAGTTTACGGTCAGACAACATGTACTTTAGATTTCGGAATTTCCAGGGGATTTCAATGGAAATTTCTTGTCGCTGACGTTACTCAACCAATTTTAGGAGCGGATTTTCTTACCCATTTTAAATTGCAGGTTGATTTAAAAATAAAAAATTGATTGATTCCTTAACTTACGCTGGTATTAAAGGGGAAACATTTCCTACTTTCTCTTTGGGTTTAACAACTATTGCAGAAGATGCTGCTTATCGAAAATTATTATTGCAGTACCCTCGCATATGTACGAATAACTTAACTTTCAACACTTCAACTCATGATGTTCAGCATCATATTCAAACTACAGGTCCTCCGGTGTTTGCAAAAGCTAGACGTTTGCCACCGGATAAACTTGCAGCCGCCAAAAAAGAATTTGATTATATGTTAAAAACCAGCTTATGCAGGCCTTCAAGTAGCCCATGGGCAAGTCCCATTCATATGGTGCCGATGTCAAACGGCACTTGGAGAATATGCGGTGATTACAGACGGTTAAATTCTATTACAATACCGGACAGATACCCTCTCCCACACATTCATGATTTCGCTTATAGCCTAAATGACTCAAAAATTTATTCAAAGTTGGATTTTGTTCGAGCGTATCATCAGATCCCTGTCGCGGAAGCAGACATTGAAAAAACAGCTGTTATAACCCCTTTTGGCTTATTCGAATTCACTAAAATGATGTTTGGGCTGTGCAATGCAGGACAAACTTTCCAACGCTTCATGCATGTCGTTTTAAGGGGATTAGAATTTTGTTTCGTATACCTTGATGACGTTTTAATTGCTTCCAAAACTTTAGAAGAACACTTAACTCACTTAAATACAGTTTTTAAACGTTTTGATGAATACGGAATTGTTTTGAATACCGAAAAATGGGTGTTTGGAAAATCAAAGTTAACATTTTTAGGTTTTGAAGTGTCTCCCGATGGAATTGCTCCTTCACCTAGTAAAGTGTCCGCAATTACCGATTTTCCCCAACCTAAAACTGTATCAGAATTACGTAGATTTTTAGCAATGTTCAATTTTTATCATAGATTTATAGATCACGCCTCCGAAAAACAATCTCTTCTTAGTTCCTTACTCACAAATAAAGAGAAAGACTCTACACCCATTAATTGAACAACCGAAGCTGTGTGCGCTTTTGAAACTTGCAAACAAGCCATTTCTAATGCAGCAACACTTGCACACCCCACACCCGCCGCAAAATTGTTTTTGCATACAGACGCGTCCGACATTGGTATAGGCGCAGTCCTTCAACAGCTAAAAAACTCCACACTCGAACCTCTAGCATTCTTTTCTCGCAGTCCACTCTTCCATACGGTACTTCGCTCACATGTTAGAGGGAAGAGAGTTCTATGTGCTAACGGATCATAAACCGCTGACTTTCGCATTCCAGCAAAAATCGGATGACTCTTCACCTCGTAAACGGACATTTACAGTATATAAGTCAGTTTACAACGTCGATTCGTCACGTGCCTGGAAAAGAAAATGTTGTTGCTGAAACACTTTCCCGCATTGAGGAAATAGCACTCTCTGGTCCAATGGACTGCGCTGAACTTGCAGCAGCACAAAAATCCGATCCCGAACTTAGCACTTTAAAGTCGTTAGCTAATTCTAGTTTAGTTTTCAAAAATATTGTATATCCTCCTGACAGCATAATACTTTGTTGTGATACTTCTACTAATGTTGCACGCCCATTTATTCCTCAATCTTATCGACAAATAATTTTTTCCAAATTTCATAACCTGTCACATCCCGGTATACGCGCAACAATTCGTCTCATTAAACAAAGGTTCATTTGGCCTTCCTTGAATAAAGATTGTACCCTGTGGTGTCGAGCTTGTGTCTCGTGTCAGAGAGCTAAAATTCAAAGGCATACGAAATCACTTTTAAAAGATTATCCTCTAACTTCTGATAGGTTCGCGCATATACATATTGATATCGTCGGACCACTTCCTACATCAAAAGGTTTTAGATTTTGTCTCACAACAATTGATCGCTTCACGCGTTGGCCTGAAGCAACGCCAATTGTTGACACCACTGCTGAAACGGTTGCTGCTGCCCTACTGAATACCTGGATAGCTCGCTTTGGAGTTCCAGAAACTGTAACTACTGATAGAGGAGCACAGTTTGAAAGTGAACTTTTTTCACAATTATCCAGAATGCTGGGTATACACAGAACTCGAACAACAGCTTACCACCCACAAGCTAATTCAATGGTCGAACGCTTTCACCGACACTTAAAATCGTCCATTAGAGCCTATGCCACAGAAAAATGGGTCGAAGTCCTGCCACTAATTCTTTTAGGAATTAGAACTGCTATTAAAGAAGACCTCACCTTTTCAAGTGCAGAGATGCTCTATGGCACAACCCTTCGATTGCCTGGAGATTTTTTCAGACCTTCCAGTACTGGCAAAGAATCCCGCAATGTCCCTATTTTTCTGCAAAGACTTCGTGAGTTCATGTCTACGTTGCTTCCTACTCAAGTACCATGGCACGGACAGCACAATATTTTTGTGCATCGAGACTTGAAAACGTGCACACATGTGTTTGTGAGAATTGACAGTGGCCGCCGAAGTCTCGAACCTCTGTATCACGGCCCACATAAAGTTGTTAAACGCAACAACAAAGTGTTCACCTTAAAAATTGGAAATAAAGAATCAACAATAACCATTGACAGACTTAAACCATGTTTTACAGACAATACGTCCAATGTGCATCCAAGAGTTGAAAATCTCCCCACAAATCCTCCATATAAATTGATTCTAAAGAACAGTATGGAATCTTCACAACAATCCACGAATCTTACACCTTCCAAACCGAAACAGCATAAGGTTAAATTTGAAAACTCTCCTCGATTTTTAACCAAAACTACAATGAGAGGAAGAAAAGTTCAAGTACCTGTTCGTTACCCGCAATAAACATTTGCGCAGTTTATTTTTGGTAACGTTCGTGGATCTCACTGGAGGGGGAGTACTATGGTGAGCTATAGATCTAGCCTCACCTAACTTTATTTAAAGCTTTAAGTTTATTTAACACCGTTGGCAACGTTCCGTTGACAACTGAGTTGTAATTTGGTTTTTCACTTTTCCAGCTTTACCTTTTTTCATTTCTCGGCCGTCAAACCAGATGGTTGTGTTCTTGTTTTTAGTTAATAAATTTAGTTTATGTATGAATGATATTTCTTTCTTTATGCATAACGTTCAATAGACCCTCGAAGACACGGGGGCCTAAATTCAGCATTTCAGTAAAATTAATGTCTTTTAATTAAATACAAAATGTAGGAAGGAGGACTTAGTTTCTGCTCTTTCCTCTTAGCTTTATTTATCTCCATATTCTTTAAACATTCCTTCTTATTTCTTAAATTCCACCTTATGTCTTTGTTCATTTTCTCTCACTGTAAAAGCAAGTGAAACAATGACTTTTTTAACTTTAGAATACAATACTCTAAACATATTTAATTCTGATTAGGAAGAACTAAAATGAATGAATAAATTTATATCGCTTATTTAGTGTCAATGGTTATTTAGTGTATGATTCAGTGTTTATTTAATGTAATATGTATTTTGTATTCATAAAATAACACTTAAAAGTATTTGATATTTTATGTAATGTTTTGTTTTTAAATTTTTTTACATAGTTTTATTATCTATTTATTCTGGTGATATATTTCTCATAGAAGCAAATGCATAGACGCTTTGCGCGATGTTGTATATAATCAGCTGTTAATTCAGATTTGATCAGCCAGCTTGTAAGTAGGAAGCAAGAAACTTGAAGATTTATTTTTCTATTAATTTCTTTTTGTTATACAGTGGGAGTGTAATTTTTACAATAACTATTTCATACATATTTTTTCCCTAATTTTATAAGTTGATATTTTGACAATAAGTCAACATTTATAATAAACCAATATACATAAAAAAAAATTTCACAGAATATGCACCAAAGTGAACACTAGGTCGAAAATTACAGTACATTTATCTGCAAATATATATGCATACGTTTATAGATGTAAAATACGCAGGGGTTAATACCTTGGATTTTTAGCTGGTTAAATACCCAAAATTTATAAATATCTTGGTATTTATGTTTTCATGAATCATGTTTATGTATCATGTTTTCTTTGGGGGGGGATATATATTTAAGGTACAATTAAGTTTTGCTCACATTGTCAATAGTTAATTAGTTATTTACTAAGAAGAAAAATTCCTTCAATTGGACATTTAAATTATTGGAATCATTGTATTTTATTTTTTTATTTGAAAGTGGCTATGGTTTAATCATCCGGAAGTTCACATTTGGATTCATAATTCCCAATATTTGTGGTTCTAAAACTAATTTCTAAATTAGTAAAGTTTTGCCAAAAACATATTTTTAAAATGCAAAATTGTTTTCTGAATTTAAGTAATTTATTTTAGAAAAATTATCATACAAACTTTTGCTGCATATAAATAATATGTAATCATTCTTTAATCCATATTTAATTGTAATGTGATGATATCTGAACAATAATGCTTAATGTGTTAATTTAAATTGGCTGTAAGGTTTTGAATTTTTAGATAGTTATTAGTAATTGATTAAAAATATAGAGTTTAATGTTAATACAATTTTCAAAGGGGTAAAAAATATATGTTAATTCTAGCTTTCATGTTTAAAAATCAGTTGACAAATATCTAAAAAAATAATCAGATATGCCATTTCTTATTCACTTTAAGGACTTCAGATTATATTTATTGAAAAGGAACCTTGCCATTAAGTTTTGTAGATGTGTATTTTATGTACTTTTATTGAGAATGTGTGCATTTAACATTGTTTTTTTTCTGTATTCAGTAAATTTTGTTGTAAGACAATTAACATGTTGAATAAATTTTTGCTGTTTTATTTTATTTATTATTATTTTGTTTCCTATTGAAATAATTGTTTTATAATTTTTATACATTTGTTTTTATTACAGCTGTTAGTTCCTTTAAAGAAACTACAATTGTGTTGTGACTGGTTTGGGTCTCCTGACGAAAAGTAATTATCTTATTTATTAATTTGAATTTTACTTCATTTTATTCATTTGTATTTTATAATATTGCCAATCATCCTCTTTTCACTTCTAGTAATGTATTAATTTCTAATGCACTATTATAGACGAGTTACTATTCCTGAACTCCATGACCATTTGATAAGAACTTCCAGGCTTGATTGTGAAGAATGTCATAGACAATTAATTGCAGCTTTGAATGGTAAATTATCTTAAGTGCTTAGTTTTAGTACATTTTATGTGTCTATAATTTTGTGTGTTGAACCAAAATAAATTATGAAGTTCTGTAGGTTTTCTCTAAGTGCATCTGTTAGGAAATAGAAAATATGAAGTTTATGTTTTGTAATGGGCTCACATAATTATTATGTTCTGTATTTTACTTTGAGGTCAAAACTTAATGACTGACCTATATAAATAGAATGCTTCATGAATGGTTAATAAATACATAAAAAACTCATACTTTTTAGTTAAAAGCAAGTAATTTAAATTCTTATATTTTATTGCTTTTTAAAAAAAATATTCTTAAGAAACATAAAAAGCTACTCTAATTTATTGGAGATACGCTGCCTTGGAATATATGCTGCAATTGTAAGATTGAACTAAAAAGGGAGAAATTTGTCGCCAGAAAGGCTGCACCATCAGATATGCCGCACAAAAGTTTACTGCATAATCGGTCTTGGAATTAATGCTTCTGTTACAAATAACAAGTTATATACAAAAAAAATTATTAAATGTTTAAAAATCATTAAAATAATTTTTAAATATACAATAAATTAATGAATTTAATCTTACTTAAAATCAGAAATTATGTATTTTGATAATTTTTTTCATAACTTTTCAAATGTATGCAAAATTGCACTATGTACAATTTGTAAAATTCAAATGCATTACTTTATTAAATGCTTATTTAAAATACTCACATTTTATTTAAACCAAGTGAAAGCCTGCGACCAGGGCAGACAGATTTCAAAGGTAATAGATCATGTGTTGACCACATTTTTACATTAAAGATTATTGTCGAACAATCTATTGAATTGAAATCAGCAATATACTTAAATTCCATAGATTTTGAAAAGACTTTCAACACAAAGAAACACGCTGGAAGCTGTTAAAGTACTATGAAATTCATGTAATGATTTGTAATTTTGTCATGAGTTATCCATGCCGACCAAACAATTAGAATCTTTCATGGTTGATTCCAGTGTTAGACAGGGTTGTATATTTTCACCAACAATCATTTTATTTGCTATTGACTTGATTATGAAAAGCGTATCAGAGAATAAAAGAGGTATTAGAACCTTGCTGAATATCTTTCTGACCTTGATTTTGCAGGCAACTTATGTTTATTGACCAACACTCTGTAAGATAGGCAAACAAACACGAACATTTTAAATGTAGAGGCAAAGAAAATGGGACTAAAAAATTAAATAAATAAAGTATTTAAAAATTAATAATCAAAACAAAGATATTTAATATTTCTCCGGCACAGATAACGTGAACTATTTTTATTTTCAGCAAAAGTTTTATCTCCTTTTAAAATCAGAGTTATTAAGTTTAAGCTCTTCATTTTTTCCAGAAAATTCAAGTAATAAAAGAAATTAACTGCTTTAAAAAATGTGCAAGTTTAGAAATTAAACCATCTAACAATCAATGAACATTCATAATAAATATTGCAAAATTAAAAAGTAATATTAAAAAAACCTGTACTACCCTTAATGTCAGAATTTGTTCACTTTTTTTCCTTTGTATTTAAAAAATAACAACTGATTGAATCGAGAGAATTATTTTAAGTAAGAAAGAAATATTCATGCGAATCTTAAAAAAGTTCTTGAATCAGATTAAATAAGTCTCCTACTGGTGGCTGAGTTAGCCATTCTAGTATACTCCCGATACAAGCTATCATCGAAGGCGAAAGAAAAGGAGACCTCTTCATCGAAGCCACCCTCCCTAAAATGCTCTCATCTTGTTTCCATAGCACCAGACTGCCGCAGACTTTCTGGCGGACAGAGTACCTATCATAGACAAACAGTACTTTAGAATATAAAATATTTTTTTAAGGATATTATCTTCAGATAAAAGAATTTTAAAAATGTAAAAGCAGATTTTTCGACTTGCTTGGAACATTGCGAAATGTATAAAAAATAAAATTAACATTGCGGGACCAAAGTTTTTGATTGCTATCTTAACTAAAAATATTAGGACCATATTTTCAAGATTGCAGGCACTTATCTCCCCGTATATTATTAATCAAGGATATAACTCAGTCCAGAAAAGATATATTTGCATTTTGATGATAGTTCATTTTTGTGTCTGATTGTGTAACTTAATTAGCACTAATTTATTAGTCTGCTGTTCGAAACATTAAGATTGGTTTTAAATCCTATCATTCGAACAATAGTTATTCAGGGTGGTATTTTTTGGACTCATTGTACATTAAATATTCATCGTGCCTCAGCTAAGAAGACAATGAGAAATTCTATTAAAATTCCTATGTTTTATAAAAGTTTCAAGGTAACAATTTTTTCTTAAATTGTAACTCTCTTAGAAGTAAAAATAAAGAGATATAGTTTTTTACATTGTTGTTTAGTTTATAACTTCTCAGATTTCTAGCAAACCAAAATTCGAATAATTGAAATTAGAATCATTGATTAAATAAGTATCTATGCTACAAAGTAAACTATTTAAAATTGCTGTATCATATTAGTATAATTTAAATTTTATTTGTAAATGGCCAACTTTTTTCGAAAAATAAATTTTAAATCAGACTACTGGAACTATGAAAATACTTAAGAATTTTATTTTACCGTAAAACAGGTTCAATATTTTATGAGGTTTACTGCAATTAAAAATCTTTTTCTTTGTTGATAGTTTATGTATAGTAATGATGAAGTTTATAAATTTATTTTTTTTTTACATAATTTTGTTTTGTTTTGAGTTCTTTCTCACATTCTTTAAGAATTTATTCCTTAGAAGATTTCTTCTATAGGCAAAAATAGGTCCCACTACCCAGGGGTGGTGTTCCCTGGATTTCTGGGTTTTTCCTATCATCCCTCTAGGTCCAGAAACTAGGAGCAGGACATGCATTTTTTAGCTGAATTCCTCATGTCTTAAGATAGGGGTACACAACCTTTTTCAGTGAAGGGACACATTCACAGCAGATTGACCAATGAAGGGCCGCATGCCAAAGTGTTTAGACCGACATATTGAAAGCAATTGTTGGTGGTGATTGTTATATAAGCATCATTGTTTATATAACACTAAATTCATTTTGTCGGTTAACCTTGTAATCTCTTTGCTGAAAATACAATACTTTAAAACGTTTAAAATTAGAAAATGCAAAACTGATTACTTAAGAAGGAAAACAGAATTCGAAAATCAGAATCAATTTATCAGAAAAAATTTAGATAAATTTAAATAATTAAAACACATTACAAAAGTCCATTTAAACATAAATTTGAACGTTAAATTTTTTTTTCATAGAATTAAATTTCAAATAAATAAATATTCTAGTTATTAATATAAATTCAAGTTAAATACTTTGATTTAAAGAAAGTTTATAGGGTTAAAAATGATTAAAACTAAAGCAAAACCCCTTAAGAGGAAAATAAGATTTAGCATTTATTAGGGAATGTACTTTAACTTTCAGACATTTTTATTTTAAATTAATAATAAAAGGCTGAGAGAGGGAAGAAAAAGAAAGAAAGAAAACACATTAAATTTTAAGGAGCTATATTCCTTAATAATAAAAAACTATTAAGATACTTGTTTACAACTTTTTATGACGAATATATTTTTAACATGACACTTACTATTTACAATTAATACACAATCAATTAACAATCAATAAAATTTACATTACTTTACAAAACTTATTTTGATTAAATTTTTTATACAGTTAAAATTTAATGATATACAAATCATTTCCCAGCATATAATCATAAATGATATAAAATGCTCCAAGAAGGTAAAAAATGGTTTAAAAAATTTCTTAATGGTTATACTGTAATTTGCAAAATTTTTGAATATTGGGATAATTTTATCTACTTGATCATGTGATATTTTTTGAGCCATTAAATGAAAATGTAATGATTGTATTTAAAGACTACTCTGTAATTTTGAACAGGCCAAATTCATTCTGGAAAACAGTCTTTCGACAGAAGCTGTTGTTGTGGGTAGTATTAAACTTAGAGCAAATAACATAATCAGTTTTGGAATTTGTCCTAGATGGTGTTCTTCCTTTCTGGGTTTTTAAATCACGGAAATACAAATAGCGATGTGTTATTTTTTAATTGCTTGAATACGAATTGTATGTGTTATTTTTTAATTGCTTGAATACGAATTGCCATGTGTGATTTTTAAATTGCGTAAATAAAAAACTCGATGCTTGTTTTTCAAATTGCGTGAATACGAATTGTGTGGCTTTTAAATTGCGAAAGAACTACTCACAACACTTGATTTTTAAAATGCATGAATATGAATCGCAATATATGGTTTTTAAATGCGTGCATATGAATTGCAAGAAAAGTAGCAACGGAGGATATTTTAAACGGCAGAACACGTATGATTTTAAATCTCGTTAATGTTAATACGAAATGATAATACGAAATGATAATTTCAGATAGCGTAAATACAAATTACGATGTATGACTTTTAAATTACATGTGACAACAAAAAGAATAGGTTCGATGTGTGTTGTTAAACTTGCACGTGTTCATGGGACTAAAGAATTATGCCGTGTTTTGAATTATTTTTTTTGCAAAACGGACCGCGTTTAATATAAACACATCTCGTTTTTTTTTTCCTGGGAAGGTGTTGATTTGGCTAAGATGCGTAATTACTTTTTAAGTTACAAAAAAAAATTAAAACTGAATCAAATTTCACGAGTTGTAATATTGTGTGAAAATATCAGGTATATTCTAAATCGCAAATAAAAATACAGCAATAAGGGAAAAGAAGAAAAAACACGTTCAAAAACCTCTTAAAAAATGCGTATTAAAATCGGTTCAACGTAAATGATAAAATCGGCACAAACAGAGCACGTAAAAAATAATTATTTTAATGCGCGATTCAAAACTCGCTTGCTGTCAACTCATAGTATTAAAAATATCAGAACCTTTTTAAATCACGGGGAAAACCTAATAACTACTAAAAAATAACCAAAATACTTTTATATTTCAGATAAAATTGGAGTAAATAAAGTCCATCAAAATTTTATGTAATTTATATGCGGGTTTTAAAATTAAAATGTCGCAATAGCGTATAAAAAATATCGGTACTTTCAAAACTTTGTAGAA